ATTGGGCCGTTTGACGTTTGTCTGTTGTCTCCCGAAGCCTTGAACTGCATCAGCCACACGGTATCGGTGCCTGACATGACGACGGGGCGGTACATAAGGGAGCAACTAAGGCCAGCGAAAGGGAAAAGAAGTAATATCGCGGCCATTCGGGTTCGAAGGCGTGTACAAGGAGAGACACTCTGTTGTACAACAGCACCGATAGCGAGGACGCGGAGCTCTTTTGGGTCTTTGGAACCGACATGCAAGATTGAATATTGGCTGCTGGGACGGAATCGTCTTCCCCGGGGACAGGTACCCAGTAGGGCGATGTACCTCAAGAGCGGCGCGGGGTGAGATCAGAAAATCGATATTTTCTCACTTGTTCTGTCGTTGTTTCTTTTTCTTTTTTGCTTCCTTCCTCCCTCCCAATTCTAGAGCACCTTCCGAGTAAATGTCCCGATAGGCAGGTAAGGACTAAACCTCAGGCTGTCCGGGTACGTACCGCGCAACGTACGCAGCAAGGCAGGTAGCTACCTAGCTACCTTACCTACCTTACCTACCTTCCCTAGGTACCTGCCGAAGCTACATGTCTACCTCATCTTACCTAAGCCGGTTGTCCGCGGTGCTACTTGTTTCGCGGCATTTCCTCCTTGCGCGTGCCCGTCCCACTGCTGACGGAGACCTGGCTCTCTGGGAAGGCAGGGCAGAAACGCTGAGACAACATAAATCCTTATAAAGTTCCGCTAAACTAGCACATAGGTAAGGTAAGGTAAGTTCATCTTGGTCTCAGTCTGCCGTCTTGCTCGTGGTCTTGGAATGAGGGATGCACACAGAGACGGAGGCGGAGGCGGAGGCGGACGGTCCACGGCATCCATCCACCACGACTTGTGCAACTAGGGTCGCAAGCAGCGTCCCTCTGGCTTCCCGCCCCAAACTGTAGGTACAGGAAAGCGTACATCGCAGAATGCCATACAAGCTACCTCGTGTGCCTCAATTCCCGGAAGGTCGCAGCCAGAATACTCCCACGCTGCCTGGCCCAAGGCCCGGTGTCGAACTAAGTCAAGGTAGCTTCGTGATTAGCTGACGACGGCTGGTACCCAACGGCATGGCTAGTAACATGGACACCGTTGAGAGATGTCGGTCAGCCATCAGCCCTGATCTATGGGTGGGCGAACATGGAAATTGCTCTAATGCTGCCTTGTCCTGACCTAAACGCCCGTTTCTCTACACCGACGCAAATTATATGCGTCCAGCTTGAATCGTCTCAAGGCCGTCGACGACATGACTAAGACAGCTCACCGCTGCTTTGATCAGGCATTGACTTTCTCATTGCCTTGACTCGAAAGAAGGAGCATATCGCCCTCCCTCACGAAAGCATCGTGACACGCGCAGCCGGTGCTAATGATATGCGCCTGCATCCCCAAACATACATCAGAGCCTCGTCGCATCCCCCGGCTCAGCTCCAGACCCTGCCTATCACTCGGTAGATGACATACATACGGCTGTGGATAGAGCGGCCGGCCTAGTGCCCGACCCGGCATGTTTGGTCTGTCGTTGTCCGAACAAAGCAATTAAGAACACGACCTTGTCCCCACGCACGTGTCATCGTCTTGTCTTTCGTTTGCATTTCCAATGTGGCTAAACACCTCCCCAGCCGCTCGTAAAGTAGCCAGATCTGATATAATGCCATTTTATCGTCATTTGGGCCCGCCAAGTTCTGCAAGCCCTGTTCATATTGAGCCTGTCGCCCTTATCTGCGCGAGGGCTACGGGCATATCCAACACAGCCGCCACATTGTCGTCGACGAGTAAGCAGGTCAAGTGAGCTGAAGCGTATGTATGTCGGTTTCCTTGTTGGTGGTGCCGAGTGAACTCAGAGCCTATCAAACAGCTCTCGACGTACTTAGCAACCGCCTGCCAATCCACCAGGCACCACTCGGCTGGGGTCGCATCCCATTTCGGGGCTGACGTTTAAAAGAAATACTTTCATTGGAAATTCTCCTTGCTGCACCTGCACCCCCTCAGAATAATATTTTTTTTATTGGCTCGCTGGCCTTGCATCGTGGCTTCGCGCGATGAGAGCGTCGTCTCAGGGGAACCCAGCCTCGGGGTTCTCATCCCATCAACAAGGCGAGACACCAGACTTTGCTGCATTTGCAATGGTAGTCTGGCAATAGACTGGAAACAAGGGCCAGGGTAACAACGGGCGATAGGACTTCCATCTTTGTCGTCGGTAGGTCTGCCGACCACCTTAACACCCTGTGCTATAGCCAGACCAGACGCGCTGTGCTGGCTATGCGCCTGGCCAGATCCCTGCCCCGGAGCTGCCTCACCAGTTATCCCGCGCCATGACTGGTGCCGACGTCATGAGGGGATCTGCGAGAACGAACAGATTGACGGGCATGTCCACAACAACTGTGCGGATGGCACATTGCCAATTGTTCAGGTTGCGAGCGTTGTGAGAAGCTCGTACGGCTCTGGGGCAGAAAAGCTGCCCCATTGATGTATGCACTCCGCACATCCCTGTCACCATCATGCCCATCCTGGGGCCGACCTAGCTAAAACAACATCTCGTCTTCTGCTTCTTCTTGTTCTTCGTTTTCTGTCACTAGTGCTTCCTTCCGCGTCGGGGCGAGTGCCACAGATCGGATTCGCACTACTCGACCAAAACAACAAATTGTCGGTGACACAAAGAAAACCCAACGTGGCGGTGAACGGCAGCCAACATTGCAGAACCGGATCTTCCTTGGGCATAGCGGCAGGCCATCGGCGGATCGGGTAGCAAGGATAGATCTGGCGTGTGGTGGAGGCAGTTTGCCCGTGACGGATCAAACATCCAGCATCGTCCAAGGATTTGTCGGTTGTCACTGCAGTCTGGGGCTGAGCTCCCCTGAGCTGACGGCCAGTGAGCAGAAACCTGACGTCGCTAATATGTCGTTTTTCCTTCTTCCCAGGCCCTCACAATAATACTTCCACGAGAAATAATATAATGTCGATTGCTCTGGGCTGTTGTCGAGTTCGGACCGACAAGTGATTTGTGACGATGTTGCATAGACGATTAGGAAGGATTTTCCTTTCCCAGAACGAGTGCCAGGATTGTTCTGGAAAAGCAAGCCCTTCACATCAAAGGGTTTGTCCATCCCGAGTCGAAAAGAGAACGTGCTCCTTGCCGTGCCCGTCCGCGAGCGACTGTCCCATGCTCGCCTAACTAACCAAACTGGAGCCCGAAGACTGTGTGCGTGTGTGCGCGCGCGCGCGGTCTCGCAGGTGTGTGTGTGGGTTATCATGATTCTGCAACGAACATGATCGTGGATGTTTCATCTTATCCGTTTGTGCTGCGTGCGCTCTTACTGGCTGGAACTTCTGGTTGCTTGTTGGCCCTGCACACAGGGTGGTGCATCTTTTGGGGTTGATGAAATCATGAACGAATATGCACTGTGGTGATTTGTCGCTGCTGGCTGGTTACACACACCAAAAAAGTAGGATCGCGAGGGGCTCTCTGGTTGTATCCGAATGGTTGCGATATGCCTTGTGTGTCTGCCCCATTCCACACACCCACCTTTGGGCTCTTCCAGGAAGTCCCGGGCGAAATCCGTTTGTTGCGGGTTGGTGATTGACATGCTTGATGATACTGCATACCTTAGCACATGTAGACAGGCCAGGATTGGGGCGTAGGCCTGGCTTTGTCAGACAGACAGACCAGAAGACCAGACCAGACCAGACGGGGCTTTGCATGCGCGAAATCTGGCGTTTGACTGCATCGATGCCGCTGTTGCCATGCTGTGGTTCCCGACCAAACGGTTCCCGTAGATTGTGGTCTGCAAACGGAGACTCGCCAATCATTGTCAATAGCGTTGTTCCCATCGGCCGAAGGTTAAACTTGTCTGAAGCGGCCTCGGACGGTTGCACCTGGATTTTGTACGACTGTGCCACAAAGCCAGATTCTTATTTTCGCGGGACGAGCTACCCGTCAATGAGGAACCGGGCTGAAATGTTTCGATCTCGTTGTATCGTGGATGACCCAGCTTCAGACTCGCGTCGAGCAGCCGCCTGGTAGGCCCCTGGGCAGGAACGAAGCAAGGCGGGATTCAGGTTCGGATACCTGCCAGAGGTTGGCGTGCCGCAGTTGCGCATGATACAGTCCTCATTCTCTTCCCCTTCCCGTTTCTCTCCCTCGCCTTCTCGTACTTGCATCGATGGTTGTCATCTAGCGGTGTACGGCCAGAGATCGGGTGAGGATGAGAGGGTGAGAGAGTGAAGTGTGGATGGGTTGACAAGTCATCACCGCAGAGAGACGTACCCTTTCCATCCAAGTTTGGGGGCGGGAGGCACCAAGCTACCTAGGTACGCTACGTACTGTGGCTGGAGCCTGAGTTGGCGTGTGGGGCTCACGCCATGTAGCTGCACCAATAAGAGAAGCTCTGAGGTGCGCTAGGTGCACGCCCCCTCCGTTACCCACTTCCTGGGTAGTGAGGCTTGAACCGCCTCCACGTTCTCGACCGATTTTCGCCCATTTCACTCATTTCAGGCACACGACAAGTCAACCACACCTCGTCAACTCATCGAGCCCGAACCCGACTGGACCTTTGCTTTGCAACAACACCCAACGTCACCGGACAGGTTTTCATACCCTCCCTCCCTGATTAAACCCGTGACAAAAGCACCACAAGCATCAGAGTGCCTACAACAGCCCAACAACCGACTGGGTCGTGCGTCTGACTTGCATACAACGGGACTATCCAGCCCTACTGTGCATTGCTCTCGCCCCAGCCAACGAAATAATTGTCCGGTTGACACCCAAGACGCTTGGTTCCTGAACCCTGTTGCGCCGTCACAACTCCTTCGGCAACTTCTATCGACCAAGTTTGCCGCCCTCTCCCCCTACTGCCTGCCTACCTCACCTTACCTTACGCTACGCCAGAACCTCCGAGGAACTCAACCCGCCCCACGTGTTCCTTGCAGCCGACCATTAGCCCGAATCCCATTCCACTCGGACCAGGAAACCAGACCAAGTCATCCAACATGGCCGACGTTCCTCTGCAAGTCATTTCGGAAAACTCCTCGTCAGAGCGCCGTATCACCCCATCATGGACCATCAGCCAGCTGAGGTCCAAGCTGGAGCCCATCACGGGTATTCCCCCTTCGTCCCAGAGAATCAGCCTCAAGACCGCTTCGGCGAGCATTCCGATTGAGGCTGCCGATGAGGACAACGCGCATTTGACAGCTTTCCCGCTCGCCCCCTATGCAGAGCTGCATGTAAGTAGGGCTGTGTTCTGTTACCTGTACCCCTTCTCAGCTCGCCTATGGCGGCTCGCTGGCGCTTCTCCCTGCCCCGTCTGCCTCGCCACCACTATTCAGCACACATATCCTCACTAGCCGCCTCGCCAAATTCAGTGACGCGGATAAGGCGGCGAAGTTGCCACCCAGGCCCTCGCCCTAATCATCTTGAGGCCTCCCATGGCGATGCCCGACTGGATGTCTGGCGTTTTGTTTCTCTGGAGTATACTGTGCTAAAAACACCTCTCTTAGGTGGCCGACACACGGCCGGCAGGAGCCCGCCCGAACTTCACAGACACCACGGGTGTTGAGAAGTATGTCATGCCGGAGGAGGAGTATGCCAAAAAGACCGACTCCGTCCTAGCATGGAAGAAGGCCCAAAAGCTGGGTCGGTTCGATCCTGACGCGCCAAGCATTGAGGAGGCCAAGATTGCAGCTATCCAGCAGGAAATTGACCAGCGGGGCATTGCGGTAGGCAAGCGTTGCCGAGTTGGAGGCGAGGATTCTCGCAGAGGTGTCGTCAAATACGTTGGAGATGTGAAGGAGATCCCCGGAGGCCTGGGTCCCTGGATCGGGGTTCACCTTGATGAACCCGTTGGAAAGAACGACGGCAGCATCAGTGGAACTAGGTATTGGGGCGAGGATTCGACCTTGAAGCATGGCGTCTTCGTGAGGCCCGAGCGGGTTGAGGTTGGCGATTGGCCGGTTCTGGACGACTTGGAAGACATGGAGGAAATTTGAAGAAAGGAAACACTCGGCGCCATCGTTGCCGCGCTTGGAGTCCATGGCGACGGGCTGACCAGGTGGTCGCGTGGCTACGCGAAGACAACGAACCCCTTTTCTTCTCTGGAACGTTCCCCAGGTCAAGTCCGAACGCATATTTCAGACGAACGCGAACGTGGAAGTTCGATCATGCACTGATCGAAAACTTCCAACTTGTTCGCGGAGAACGCTGGCCCAGAAAGGCCGTTGACCAAACGGCAAAGGGGCGTTGGTGCAGTAATGACAAGATTCGATGCTTTCTCCCGTTTCGAGTATTTCGCCCTGTGTGTAAGATGATCAGCTAAACACTATCGTCAAATACCAGACCAAATCTGTGTCAGCGATATCGGACGACGTCCAAGTCTCGCTCTCGAGTTCTCGATGCTTTCTCCTGTTTTCGGCACATCTTTGGATGAACCGTCTGCCATGGCATGGTTCGTTTCTCTCTTCCAAACATCAGACTTGACGTTCTTGTTCCAAAGAACCAACTCTCGTTCCCGCCGGGCAGAAAGTCTCCGAGTCGGACCCGGCGGCATAACAAAGCCTTGCTCTGTGACCGGCTGCTTCCCGAGCCATGTCGTTGCGTACAATGCTCGCCCACTGGTTTCTACGTCCGAAACCCGGGAGTCTTTGGCAAACTCCCACGATTCCCAGTCCGATGACTTTAGGGTCGGACGAATCGTCCACATGTTCAGCAAGCTCGCGGGCTTCTTACCGGACTGAGGGCTTGTATGACAGCATATGGAGATCCACCTCCTCGAAGCATTCCATTCTGGTGCAGCGCTGAGCCTTCTTGTGCTTGATCGCTTCGCCAGTCTCTATGGATATGGAGTGCCTTGGCGTTGACTGGTTTTAATTTTATCCTGGCAAAGGCAGGCGATCGCTAAACTTCATAAACGAAAGTCTTCTCTTCATCCCCTCCATCGAACCATCACAACGCCCCTTTTGGCAGTGACTTCATCCGACAGGGTCTGTTCCCTCAACGTGACTCGATCGTGGCAAGAAACATAAAGGCTCGTTCTCGGTGCCTGAACTCCTGACGATGGGCCAAAGGCAAAAGTTGAGAGGGAGTAGGGGGAGAGTTTGTGGTGTGTAGGAGAGTCTACCAAGAAAAGCTTTGGTCGGGGACCAGCATGAAGAAGCCAGCATCATCATCAGCTCCGAGACTTTGTGAACCTTGAAGCATTCACATACAACTGCATGAATGACAGGCAACTGCCGACCACGCCCTGGGAGATGTTTGCGGCTCAACAAAGCGGGTAAGAGACGGGACTGTCTGGGGAAGGTTCGGTAGTCAGAATGCTGGTCGGCAGCCAAGGATCCAGGATCAGCAAACTTCTCAGACATAGGCTGTGTCTGAGCCAGCTCCACGACCGCCTGGTCCAGGTCCTGCAGAAGTCATAAGCGTCGCCCGCGACCGACAAGTTGCCTTTCCTCGCTCTAGGCACCTCCCTTCTTCTCTCCTAGAATGGAACCCTGGACAGCACCACGAAGTCCGTGGGAGAATCAACTTTACCCGGGGAGTGGTAAATCTACTGCAATTCTATGATGACCTATGAACATGGGTTTTGAGAGTGGTTGAGGCTACGTTGATCAGCCCAACCTCAATGAGAGTTTGCAGAAGAAGGCGGGGATAAAAAGGAGAAAGAAAGGACGTCGCCATGCAGCGGGATATGGGGTTTCCTGTCACGCGGAAGGCATGGGGACAAGTTTGGCATCTGAGACTGAACGATGGTCGATCACCAAGCAGAGATGCGAAGAAAGTTCCGAAGGAGCCGAATGGGGGGGCGGGCGAACCGCAAACAATGTTTGCATTGGCATGGCGTTCGTCAACTTGAACTGGATGACGAGCGAGTAGAGCGCAGCAGTGTTGGACGAGATCAATGCAGATAATGCAACGGCAAAGGCTATACTATCTGATGGGACAAGCGTTCCATCCCTACCTGCCCGAATCGTCCAGAGTTCGTCTTTCGAATGACGAAGGAAGCTTGAAGTTTGACGTCGGAGGCGGGTGCCGGACGGTGAGTTAAGGACACCGGGGTCCGGGTGTTTGATGAAGAGGGTTTGTTACTGTTTCTGTTCTCGTCTTGATGCGCCAACGAGGAACAGCCCAGCAGGCCCTCCGGAGTCAGAGCCGGGCATGCTGGTCTCGTAGCGGAAGACAGATTTGGGGTAAGTTGTCCGTCCAGGAGGGTTTTCCCTTCGCCCTGTGAACTCGCAAGAAAGTATGGGCGGTTGGGGGATGTGGCCCCCCCCTGCAGCTGGCTGGCCAGTAACACGCACAAAATGAGGGTTTTGCTGATCACACAACCTCGGAGCGGTGTTGAGAATGGACAAAGTGGCAGCATCATGACAGGCAATTCGGCCGAACTGGCGCAACACCTGATCAAACGGACAGCTTCTTTCGATCGGTTCGGGATTGCAGCGCAGTCCGAAGAACGCACGGCGGAGAACAATTGCGTGGCGACGCGTAGCGAAGCTGTACAGTTGCATGGCCAGACACCACATGCGCGGGACAATTGAACGGGCAAACACACCTTACTTATCAATGGTAAGCCGAGGAAGCCGCCACTGAACAGGCGTGAGAAGTCCGAACCGACCGGAGTGCCGACATCACCTGATGTTCTGAACCCAGAAGTGTCGAAGAAGCCAACGGGCCCCAGGTGGCCTGAGTCTGTGATGAATCTGGACCCGGGCTCGAACACGACCTGGCCGAACTGTATCACAAGTCAGACGCGTCCATAAGGTATGGGATGTCCTTGAAGGCAGATCCGAACTGCCGAACTGGTTAGAACAACGGCGGCAAATTGAGGGCTTGACCTGGACGAGCTCGCTTGTCGACGACGATTTTGCCGCGCAAGGCTGAAGTTCTGGAGGCGAGATTTCTGTTAATAGTGACAGCTGCGTGTGAGGTAGAAAGGGGCGGCGGCTGTGAGGTGAGGATGCTGCTTGTTGCAGTGTGTCGGGTGCGGGATGAAGGCATGAGAAACGAGAGAAGGAAGATTTCTGATGCGGCGGCGAGATGGGGCCACGAGAGAGGTTTGAAGGCAGGGAGGCAGAGGCAGAGCAGCGCAGAGAATGGCGGGTGCTGCAATATAGCATTGAGCTTTATCGGTTTGAGTTGCGCTCAAACGGGGCTCGCCGTCTCAGCGTGTCGGAGGTTCGCGATCGCTGACGCCCAGCTGGGCAATCTACCGCACACACATCGGTTTCTCTTACAGGACACTCAACGTCAGGAACAGGCAAAGCGAACCAACCCCGGACTCCTGACAGGGGATGGACGGGGATTTGTTCGGGTGCTGGGCTGAAGATGGGGAAAAGATCTGACTGCGTTCCTATTTTTTTATTTTTTTTATTCTTCCGCCCGAGGTGGGAGTGGGAAAGGGGGCCGGGGCCGGGGCCGTGGGTGCGCGTCAATTCGGAAACCCGTGAGAGATGTCACAGGGCAGTCTCGAAGCCTGCCAAGACCGGGTCCAACGGTTGCATCAGATGCGTCAGCGATCGGTGCAGGTCCTCTGAGTGGCGGCAGATGAGGCTCGACTTGTCCAAGGGATGCAATGCAGATGGATACCATCAGCCCTGATTGCTGCGGCCTGCCACACACGCACAGGACAAGCAAAAAGAACAATAACAACAACAACACGACCGTGGCCTGTGGCGAGCGTTCCATATGTTCCTTCACCTCAAGGGGGGGTAATGGGGGCTTCGGCAAGCTCCCGGCGCCTCCGTATTGGACGCGAGGCTCTTCGCGACACGTCTCGTATTTCAAGCCAGAGGCAGGTTGAGGCCCGGGTCTCTTCTGCGTTGCGGCTGTGTTGTGTATCGGGCGCCTATATTGTCATTGTTGTTATGTGGCCTTGCGCAGTCAGTGATTCTGTGAGGTGCAGTGCAACGGTTCTTCTGATGATCAGGATTGGCCCCGGATGACTCGAAACTCTCGGGTGCGGTGCGAGGTCGGGTCGGGTAGTTTGGAGATTTGGGCATGGTTCAAATCGCAGGGCGCCCAAGTGACTGGAAACGAGAGAATGCTTCTTCAGTGTCGCCAATTGATGCCCGTTTCGCGGCAGATGGACGGGCAAACATCAGATACATGAGCTCACATCAGTCGAAGGCGTACGTGTTGGCTACTGTATCTCGAACAAACAGAGGTTCACTTCGGAGACTTTTCCCAGCGGAATCTGTTTGGTGCAGCGAATGTGGGCGACACGGCACGGCACATTTATCCATGGTGACCCCACCCGACCTTGCCCGGAAAGGCATCTGAAGCCTGAAGCCTGGAGCCCGGGGCCCTGTTAGAAGGGCGGGCTGGAACCTGAGAGGCCTGATGGTGATCACGGCAGCGTCTCGCAAGTGAGAAAGTCTGAAGCCAAGCCTCACTCATCCGTCTCCAGAAACCTGGCAATGTACATGGTATTCGTAGGTGAGCTGTGAAATACCTACCTACTTGGGAGTGATGTGATGGGCGCTGGAGAATTTCCGCGGCGAAACTCTGGTGTTGATTCCCCCGGGGCCAACGGGCCAGTCAGATGCGAGGGAATAAGAAAAACAGCGGCGACGTTGATGATTGCTGTCCGGTAGAGTTCCCGTCTTCCTTGCGCGCGCCTGGCAATCGGACCAGGTTCATCTCAGGTCTCGACGTGTGAGTTAAGGTGCGCCAACGGACGGCATGGCGACTCGCGGTAGGGATTGCGGGATAGCGGGATGGGGGGATTCTGAGATTCTGCATCTAAATCTGCTTGCGCCCCGTCTGCGTCTGGTCTGCTGCGACTTTGCGGCTCTGTCCTTCGTCGTCGTTGTCATCGTCATCTGTCATCTCCAGTGAAGGACACAGACGAAAAGAACGTGCTCTTCCTCTGTTCGAAACTGCCGCCGGAGCGCCGTCTCGTCGACAGCCAGCACATCGATTCTCACGGCATCCCCGTCGTGCTGCTGCAGCTGACCCGAACTTGCCTGGGGTCCCGGGCTGACCTGTGGCCTGTGTCGCTGCGACTGAGACTGACCTCCGCCGTCACTCCTCCACATTCGTCTTGGCGTTGGCACATCCTCCACTGGAGCCAGCACCCAGTCGCTTGCACCAGGTACTTGGCTCTCCCTGCCGTCCACCACCAAACCGCCGTGTACCTTGACCTTGCGCCTGCCTGCGTGCCGCCGCTACCGTTCCCTTCCTTTCCGGCGGCTGACTTTTGTCTTCGTCGCTCCCGCCTTTCAACCACCTCCTCACCACACCACTCCAACCACAAACCACTGCCGACCTTTCCATCTCCGACCCGGCCGTTCCTGTCGTCCAACCTTATCAACGACATCACCACCAGAGCACCGCAACAAGAAGAAGACGTCCAACCGCCCGTCTGTTCGTCGACGACACACATTAAGCGCCCTCATCCATCGGACGCATTACACTCGGCGCGACGACCACTTCTTTGCGGATACCGGAATCCAGAGAAGATGACCATCTGATATTGGCGGTTCCGAGGAGATGTGACACGCCAATCCCCCCATCTTCCTCACAAGTCCAGTCCTGCAACCGAGCGATCCCGACCACCCACGTCCTACCGTCTTCCAGCACCTCCTGCCGTGCAACTACCCGCCTGACCGCATCGACCGCATCGCACCGCACCGCACCGCACTGCATGCCCAACTGCAATTGCACTACGCTTCTTCCATCGTCGTCCCTTTTGCCTTTGGCTCAAGGTTTCCACCTTTCCCTCGACTGACATCTGTGTCGACCCCCGCAATCTTACCGACATCTTAACCTCGCCTGTCATCCGAATTTCGACTTCTGTTTTCCTCCGTCCGCACCAAGCGACGTCGACCGTCGCGCGAACGTGAGAGAAGGGAGAGAGAGCATCGACACCCCGAGGCGACATGGCTCGTTCGTTGCTTCGCGGCTTGGCCTGTGCCGCTGCCGCTGCCGCCATCGCCACGGTAAACGCCGCCACCATCGCTGCCCAGAATGACATTCCCTCATGGAGCGAGAAGTCTGCCATGCAGCTGTCGCTGTCTTCTGCTGGCGGCGATGTCGTGCCTCTGACGTTCATCGTCATGCCCTCTACCGAGAGTCTGGGCCTGAATCAATCAGACGTCGCTCGAGGGGTACGCATCAAGTCACCGTCTCGACGGGTGTTCTCATCAAGACAAAGTCAACATCGCTAACGTATCAACAGACAATCAAGATCGAGGGCACCATGGTTGCCGCCACCTCGTCAAATTACAACTCAATCAACCAGAACTCCCAGATTGCATACCTGTCTTGCGACGACAATGATGGCAGCGGCTTCATCAACCCAAACATGATGCTATCCACGTTGATGGAGAACAAGCCAAGGGCCATTGTGTTGTACAGCACCGTCGGGAACTGGTGCCAATTATCCGGGGACGTCTCGTACGGCTCCATTCTCACCATGGCGGATGCCGGAGACGCGTCGCAGGCCCTGCACATTCTCAACGGCACAAATGAGGTGGATGTAATCAAGGTCACCATCACTGGAAACGCCACGTCTGCCAACGAAGGGTCTGGCAACGGCGGAGGCGGTAACAACTCAGCGGTCGCTATGAGCATCCTTTATAGTATAACGGGTCTCATCACGCTGCTTTTCCTCATCATCATCGCTACGGGTGCTGTAAGGGCACACCGTTACCCCGAGAGGTACGGACCCCGCAGCGCGTTCAATGGCCGTCCACGCCAGAGCCGTGCCAAGGGCCTTGCTCGCGCTGTTCTGGATACCCTTCCCATTGTCAAGTTTGGCGAGAGGCAAGAGGGTATCGCTAAGCCCGACCCAAACATCGAGTTGGAGAGCGCTTCAATTCAGAATGAAAGAGGGCCTGAGAGCCGCAATGAGCAGAGGCAGCAGGATACTGCCCCAGCAAATAAGAGCGCAGCAGCCACAACCACCACGGCCATCGCCGCAGAGGCAACAAGTGCGTCAGCCGCAGCTGCAGTTGCCACTGGAGCTACGGCCAAGACGGCTGCCTCTGATAGCAAACCCGAGGCCGCGGCTCAAGATGAAGAGAACTTGGGCTGCTCCATTTGCACAGACGACTTCACCGTCGGCGAAGATGTTCGTGTGTTACCCTGCAATCACAAGTTCCACCCCAACTGCGTTGATCCATGGCTGGTCAACGTCTCGGGCACCTGCCCCCTCTGGTGAGTTGCTGTCTTTGAAACTTTGTCGAACGGAGCACTTTCTAACATACTGCAGTCGTCTCGACCTGAGACCTCAGGGTGGGAACACTGAAAACCCCAGCGATGAACTTCCCCCGCCACTGGACCTCGACGGTCACGAGAGTGACGGCTCATCAACCACACAAAGGCGGCGGACCCGGCTGTTCGACCTCAACCGGTTGAGACACGCTTCCGCCGAAGAGCGTATCCAGGCCCTGCGGCAGTATAGAACACAGCAGCAAGGCCAGGACGCGTCCGACGAGTCCGCTGGTGCAAACGGCGACGAGAGACAAGAGAGAAGTCGCAGAGCGAGGATGGCCGACAAGCTGCGGGAGAAGTTTCGCATTAGAACAAACCCCCAGTCTTAAACCTAACTGCCTCCGACATGAGCATATCAACTAGGCGATGAGCGCATGAGGTATATCGAACTTGCAGTTGCAGAGGCTGCAACAAAATTGACGAAGGAGAGAACAGCATTGAAAGCAGCATATCGACAACACACTGCGATGATCCAGAGGCCCTTGTTCAAGCGTAAAAGCGGGCAAGGACCCCCTTTTCACTTCTTCGACGGATAGAATTTGGCGTTACAGGAATAAAGTCATACCGGCGGACACTTTCAGCATTGTACGGCGTTTAGCGGACATGGAACCACGACGGACTGGTGGTCACTGGCGAACCCTAATACTTTCGGCCGGAAGAGGGAGGGCGACTGTATATTTGGTGGACTGGGAGGACTCAACGTCCATGGCATTGAATACGAATCACAATGGGCTACGTTGGCCAGGAAAGGCAGGTTCGAGGAAAACAGAGGCCTCGACATGGATGGCCATGAAGCATCTCATCCACGATTGATCACGAAGCAAGCACACGTTCTTGGTGGCATTCACGACGGTACATAGATAGAAGAATGGTGAATGAAGATTTGAATTACTTGACTCGAGTAGCGGCAGTGACTTTTGCTTGACCTCGGCAGGCTGGGCCACTAGGGCCGGCGTTTTGGACATGCTTGTTCGTTTTGGTGGAGGATGGAGGAAACGCCGAGACAACGATGGACAAGCCATAAAGGCGCGGCCAGTCAATGGGAAGCCAAACCGACTCGGCCGGCGTTTTGACTCGAGAGAGGCCGAAAGGATTCGTTGCCTTTGGTCCCCCCCCTGTGCCTCTCTGTCTCTGTGTCTCTCTCGCAGATCTTTGAGCGGCGGGATCTACCTCACCCACTCTCACTCCTCGGCCTGCTAGCCTCGTTACGTCTTGGTGCCCTTCCCTCTCTCTGTTGCCCGGCTGGCAATAGAACTGGCGGCGGCGGAGTGGAGGAGGAGGAGGGGGAGGGGGAGGAGGAGAGGAATGCTGAGCTGGAGCTAGCCTCAACTTGGTAATCCAGCCCACCGGAGGGGGAGGGACGGGACGGGATGGGATTTTGCCGTTTCTTTTGCTTTCGCTGGGTGCTAGTTTGGGCGATAGTCAGGGGAGGCCACGGGGGGCTAGAGGCGCTCATCATGGCGGTTCTTGTGTGCTTCGTCGCTGTCCCGTCCTCCCCCAAGTGCCGATCTGTCTGGATTGGGGGGGGCATGGTGAAGGACCGGTTGTTCATTCCGTTGGCTTGGCATTTCCAAGGTATCGTGACGGACTCTTGTGGCGACTGGGGGAGGCAGGATTGGACAATCACAATATCTGCAGGTTGATTGTGATGTTCCAAGAGGCTTAATTAAAGTTGTCAGGTCGCGCACAACGGCCTCGCAGACGGCCACGGGGCTCATTCAGTTTTGCCATTCTGCTGGAGAATGCCGGCACGAGACAAAAGAACTCACTCACCGGGTTCCTGGGCTCCGAGCGAGGCGGCATCTGAATCCGCAATGCCAAGTCGGGAGTGAGATGCCTTGCCAACCTCTTTGGAATGCAGAAGCTCAAAGGACTGTACCACCCTCTATAGGGCTGTGGCGCGGTGATTCAATGCCATTCGACTGCGGAAATCTGGGATTGTCTTGGGTATTTTCTGATTCCCCAAACCGTCACTCCCGAAAATGCGACTCTTTAGGGTCGGCGAAGTCTGTTTTCAGAAGTGCTCACGGCGAATCTGGGTGTGGCTGTCGTGGGCTTAGCATCACGCGGATCCCAGGTAGACTCCGGGCATGTCTCAGAGGTTAAACGACAAGCTTGAAGTCCTTTTGATCTTGGAGAAATTTGTCACGGGCGTGCTTTCGAATTCCATTGCTTCTGGAGGGGTTCTCTGTCGACTGGCAACGTGAACGCCTCGAAGAACGGGGCTGGCGGCATCTTCCACACGTTGCGCGCGTGTGCAAATCCACGCAGTTCAGCCCGCACGTCTATCAGCTGGGGAACGAAACGTGTCGTGAGCGTGGGCGTATCCTTCAGATAGGCGTTTGGGTTTGCGCCAAAGGAAGCCTCAGAATCGTTGGAATGTCAAGTGGCTTGGTGAGAGTTGGAGACTACGAGGTAGCCTCCAGGTCTCAGACACGGACGCTTCCGTGAATGAAACTAATCGAAATATCGATCGCTGAGAGGCGTCTCGGAGATCTAATCAGGCTGATCAAGGAGTGTTCCGCGTCGCATCGAAATACTACGGTGGGTTCGCGGAAAAGGGGGCGGGCGAAGCAGAAACAACTGGCTCACGGCGCCGTCGTACGCAATAAACCATGAGTGTGAGACTGCCGAAGAAAAGGGCGTTCTGGTCTAGTTGAAAACGAGGCAAGCCGGCGATGCTAGCCCTTAAAGCAGTCTGGCGTGTGGGCGTCGTGGTGTATCATCGTGTTCCCGACGTGGCTGACGATGTGTGGCTAGACGGTGATGACATGGGTGGTGGTTGATGTCGGGCCAATCAAGCGCCTGTGGACCCCTTTTTTTGTCCTTCCTTGGTTGAGGCCGCTCTTTCCCCAGACAAGTGAAGTCGGGGTGTGGCACGGTCCCTCCGTTCCCGCCGAGGCGAGCAGGAACAACCAGCAATTCCGGCAGGATGCTGTCCGTGAGAGCTTCGGAGATGTGGCTTGCGCTCACGGGCCCTTCTCAGCGGGGTGGGATCCCGCAGAAGCCGCTGTCATTGGATGTTTGGGGTTGGGCAAAAGTGGAGTTTCGTTCTTCCGAGAAAGTCGTCCACCAAAAAAAGGTTTGGTCCCTGCGCCGTCGTCCAGCTGGGGCCGGATGAATTTGCGCAATTGTCCAATGGCAACACGACGTTCTCTCCTCGGGCTGCTTGTCTCATTGCTTGCTTATCCTGTCTTCTTGTCAACCGCTTGTTTCTCCCTGATACCCGGGGCCTGGGAATACCTTTCTGTCTCGTCGCACCTTGCATATCCTCCCCGGGTCCTCGTGATCCAGTGTCGGGCGCCCCAGATCTTCGTTTTTCAGTTCGCTTATCTTCTGGCATGGGCAACTGCAGCCGCAGGCTCGCAGACTTGGCTAGATTCTGTATGGTCGCGTTTTTGGGTCGGGTTGCATTACGGGATTTGCGTCCGCCGCCGTCGCACACCATCTAGCGCATAATGGCCAACATGGAGAGTGCAACATCAGCTCGGGCGTCGTTTCTGGGACTGCAGGCCCTGCTCTCGCAACACGTTTGAATGGTACAGCGCAGCGTGCAAACGGGAGACAAACGCCTCGACGACAACGACATCTCCTCGGCCAAGGCCACGCGCCTGACGTACATACTGCAACGCAGGCGAGCTTTGAGACCGGCTGCACGAAAGCGAGGGCGGGGAGAGGAGGGTGAATGGCAAGCAAGACGGGGTGTAGCAGGTATCGGTGCCACGCATCTATCTGCATGGCGTTTCTGTCCATCTGCACGACCTGAGTGCACGGTGTTGTCCTGCCTCCTCCCCGAATCCACCCCACGACAGGTTTTCCGGCTGGCAGCCACATCTCAGCCACCAGACCGAGCACGACACTGGACTTGCCTGCCGGACAATTGTTCCCTCTGGCCTCGGGCATTTCCTCATCAGACAGACCTGCTGGCTTTATGAAGAGGAAATGCACTATGGAGCAAGCGTCCGCGGAAGGTCCCCCGCTGCACAAAACACACAAAAGTCTGGACGACTATCTTACACGATACTTTGCGGATTATGCCTTCTTTTCCTAGACGGCCATTGCGACATCCGTGGCTCGCAAAGCTCTCAAGCTCCAACCAGCCCCGGTAACCTCCGGGTCTCACCATCTGCCTAGCCTCTGCCCAATCTCTCCTTCCCGTCAACGCGGTTGGCTGGCTGCCATCTGGATGTCCCCCGACGACGCTCGACCCGCTAGCTGACGATGAGGAAGATCTACCCTTGGTGCCTCCTGCAGCTCCGTGAGTTGTCTCGGTGTTAGGTGCTAAGGTCAGCCGCACCCTCGAGCACACAATTGCCTTGGGCTGTTTGGCGTGGCGCGCATGAGCTTGAACGAGGAGGAAACCGCGGATTCGCATATCGAGGGGCACAGTCTCAACGCAGATTCAATAAGCTCAGCGACCGTTTGTTCTGGCTTCTTGGCCCTCGTTGAACCACTGCTTAGTGGTTCTAATGGTCCCCTTCTCCTTCGATTATGGGCGCTGGCAATGGCACGCCAGATGACCTGGCTCAAACGTTCGACCGAACTCTAGATCGTGACGATGATGCAAGATTGCCCGCATGTCCCGCCCACCCACAGACTCGAAAAGCCAGAAACAACTATATTGCACAAAGACTTCTCAATCAAACGCTAAACCGATCGTGCATCGAAGGTATGGCATTTGGGATTTGCGGAGGTGCGGCGAGGGCGTCGAGGACTCGAACAACGGTCAAAAAAGAAAAAGGAAAAACATAAATCAAAGATGAAAGCGAAGCGAGCGATCTGACATCTTGGCCGTGAGTGCTGCTCGCCGCCGGCCGGCGCTCTGCCACTTTCTTCCATCCATCTCGTGTTCTTCCTTTCCCTCAGGTTCATTTGCAGTCATTTAACCCCAATCGCAGAGTTGAACTTTCAAACCTTCTTTTTGGATCGTCCATCCTTCTAGCAGATACCTCTCGAGGCTGTGAGGTCACCGTCGGCCGTAAGACTTTTCTTAGTCGGTCTTTTCGGCGAATACTTGAATCTACATGGCCAGGCGGCTATAGTGCTCTTTCTTGGAGTCTTTCCCGCCGGATGAGGCGTGGAAGATCCAGGGAGGTCTCACATCGGTAGCTCGCCCACATCGGGATCCATTTAGTCCCAACTACCTGAAATGCGGATACGTTTGTCGATCTCTCCGTTCCCCAGGAATGCGTCTGTTTTAGTTGCGGGAATGGGTCTCACAGATCCGCCGTGCGTACAGCTCTTCTTTGTTGCTGCTGCTGCTGCTGCTGCGCAAGAACCAAATGGAGACCCCGTCCGTCGTTCGGCCGCGCAACCGCGGAGCCGTGAC